GAAACAAAGATAATGCCGTCATCTATACATACTTCGACTGATATTGAAGTTGTTTATACCGAGAAACTCTTTCCATATGGAATGACCAGAGTAAGAAAGGAAAAAATATTTCTAAAGCACCAATTCTTTGTGTCTATATCGTATTTTCAACAATAATCAATACAACATACTCCCTCGACTAAAAGGAGGGTCATATGCATAAAAATAAACTAAGTTTGTTTACATGCATGTATCTATGTTTCTTTGCATCCACATGTACAGTCACGTGTACATATGTATAGTCGTAACCGTAATTTATAAAGTTAGATCAAAAGTAATAGAAGTCGAGGAATGTAAACCTGAGGTCAGTTTTTAAAAATTTTGACTTGGTTTTTTCATCAAGGAAAGGCTTTTTTTTAAAGAAAATAATATTTTTTTTTATAAAATTTGAGCAAAGGCAATTCGTCTCGGGAAATGCAAATCTGTTATCGATTTTTAGAACTTTTGAGTTGTATCTTTCTTATCAAAGAAAGGTTTTTCTTACCAAAATATTGACTTTATATAAAGTTCGACAAAAATAATCGAGGTTGTAAATCATAATTTGTATTCCGTTTTCCAAAATTTTAGGTTGGATTCTTTTTCTCAGCAAAGGGATTTTTAGAAAAATAATCATTTTTTTAAAAGTTTAATCAAAGGTAATCTGAGTCAAGAAATCGAAATCTGTGGTCGGTTTCAGAAGTTTTAAGTCGAATTTTTTTCATCCAAGAGGGTGTGTGTGTGTGTTGGTTGTTGTCCAGCAAGACACTCATGCATCCAGACTCATCTTGATAACTGAATAGGAGAAAGAAGGATCTCCCCAATCTAATTCTATTGCTTCTACATATAGATCTTCGCGTTGATGAGACAACACAATTCCTTAGCATAATAACGTTGTTTAATCAAGATTCTGACTGCTTTAGTCTTGGTTTTTTTGTCATATTCAGCATCAATGTAGAATATTCATAGATGAAAATAGAAACAGAAGGTGTTTCTCTGATTTTGATTATATATAAAATATAAATGTTTTTACATAAAATATTTTTTCTTTGCAATAGATACTTTTGAAGGGTGTGGGTGTGGGGTGTGGGGTGTGCGTGTGGGGTGTGGATGTATGGTTGATAACACATCCACAATCACACCCGCACACATACCCACACCCACCTACACCCACACCCACACACATACCCAC